AAGAACCGAGCAACAAATCACACACCTTAATAACTGAGCAGAACAAAGTAAATTGAAGAGAGGGAGAGAGAACAACAAATAATAATAAAATAACTAAATACATTCAAACATATAGCCAGGGACTTATAATAAATCAAATTGTCCAATTGCAGACAAAAGACCTTGGGCTCCTTCAACACTGTGCCCAGGGATTTTTTAAATGCAGATATTTCATGCCTAAACCCATCTAAACAAGGTTGCCTTTTACTCCATTTACATTTATGAATATAATATTTTGCCAAAATGATAGTTATTCCTCCACTTGAGGCAGGAATAATGAATTTAAGTATCTCGGGGTCTTGTTCACGAGTGAGGGAAGGATGGAATGGGAGATTGACAGGCGGATCGGTGCAGCTTCTGCAGTAATGCTAATAGAAAGGAAAGTGACAAGCTACATTTAATTAACTTTATTCTACTCATGGCAAAATTTTATATTCACAAATGCAAATTCTCTAAATCTAAACCCTTCTTCCCTGCCCTGTTATGCGAAATGAAAAATTATTTTTCTTCCATCCTGAAGAGCGAAAATAAAAAAGCTATCAAAATTTGTAATACATGTACTTCCCTGAATGTTTTTACTTAACCCATTAAGTCACCCCCTGGCCTAAAAGTTTCATGTTCACATTGTTCAACATTGTTTGCTTCGATGTTGTTCTTGTTTTTATGTTCTTTATTTTATGTTATAGTACTCTTGTTTCCGATCTATTTACTTATGTATAACTACTGTCATATGCCTTAATAAAGTCAAGGGAAAAAAAAAAAAGCTTCTGCAGTAATGTGGTCAATGTACCAGTCCGTCGTGGTGAAGAAGGAGCTGAGCTGTAAGGCGAAGCTTGCGATTTACTGGTCGATCTACGTTCCGACTCTCACCTATGGTCATGAGCTTTGGGTCATGACCGAAAGGGCAAGATCCCGGATACAGGTGGCCGAAATGAGCTTCCTCTGCACGGTGGCCAGGTGCACCCTTAGAAATGGGGTGAGGAGCTCGGTCACCCAGGAGGAGCTCAGAGTATAATCGCTGCTCCCCCACATCGAGAGGAGCCAGCTGAGGTGGCTCGGGCATCTGTTTCGGATGCCTCCTGGGCGCCTTCCTAGGGAGGTGTTCCGGGCATGTCCCACCGGGAGGAGGCCCCGGGGAAGACCCAGGACACGCTGGAGGGACTATGTCTTTGATAAGTGAACATCACATTGCGTTATTGTGTCTTACTGAAACATGGTTACAGCAGTAAGAATATGTCAGTCTAAGGGTACTTTTACACGGAAATGCTCTTGACTGCAAACGCATAGTTTTGTTAAAACGATTGCTGTGTAGAGGGGAAGTATTTGCGTTGACATGAAAACAGGGAAAACGAATAAAACGATGTCGGAGCATGCGCATTACCCTTGAAGATGATGGCGTCATTAGTGACTTCTAGCGACTTTTAGGACAGCCAATATCTACTTTCCTTGCTGAGGAGTTGGCCTCCGCGGTGGATCTAAAGACATGAGTTACCAACATTATTTTGTTGGTCGCAGCAGTAGTAAAGGAGCAGTTGTACTAATGCTAATAAGTTTATTAGCATCTGTGTGTAGCATGAAAGCATATAGTTCGCCATTTTTTATGTTGATGTCGCAGTCGCGGGGCGATGGCGTCATCGTTTCGTAAACATATGCGGATTATAATGTTGACACGAAAACGTTTTAGCTGGCGTTTTGAAACTCTCCACTTTGGGACCCGTTTTAAAAAGTCTCCATTTTCGCTACCCGGCTAACCTGTTTCCGTCTAAACGGAAGGCCAAAACGCCTACTAAAGTAGGCGTTTACAGTCAAGAGCATTTCCGTGTAAACGTACCCTAAGTATCCTCCTTCCCCAAGAACTCGTAAGAATATGAAATTGATTTATAATTATTCATCCCAAATTACACACTGGACAGAGCAAATATTTACAGGGTTCAATGAGGCTGTGGATGTAATTAATGTTCTGACAATATAATATAATACATTATGTGTTCTGATTGTGCTTGGTGTACACTGGGTGTGCTTGTGTCCAAACCCTCTTAATCTGGCCTCTCTGACCCTGTCCCCAAAATAGCCGACCTCAGCTGTCCCTCTGTCCTCTGTCCTCATTCCTAATCCTGTCCATCCTGGTCCCTCCTAACAGAACCTCAACATCCTCATCTCTGCTACCGCCATCTCTTCCTCACTGCTACAGTCTCATACAGCATAGCTGCTCTCACTACTGTCTTGTACCCCCTTCCTTTACATCTTTGTT